ACTTCCATTTGCTGCATTTTTGCTGTGAATAATTCATTGTGTCTCGAATGTACCATAAGGAACTCTGGTTTATGTTTCTCCTCATATCAGTGTTGTTATTGATGCTGGTGTATAGGTTACAGATGTTTTAATCTAAATATACAATATTTAAGTTTATAAAAATGCAAAAATGCTTGGCCTGATAGTTTTACGCATAACAAGACACCTGTTATGAAATGTGCTAAAATATTACCATTCCTCCTTGCTTATTTGTTTTACAGATTTTACATTATATACTCATTGCCCACTTTATAAGGTACAGCTGTTAAACTGCCAGTAAATGCAAATATCTAATCAGCTGATCACATGATAGTAACTCAGTTCATTTAGGCTTTTATACAGGATGACCTGCTGAAGTTTAAATTAGGCATCAGAATTGGGAAGAAAGTTGTGCGTAAAAATCACCTAAATCTAGGGTTTGCAGAGGAAGAAGACTTAAAAAAAAACAACAAATGAGGGATGAAGGAGAACGTGACAAAGAGCAGAAGCAAACTGAGGGTTTAAATACACAAAAAGAGATCAGGGCAGATTGGAGACACCTGGGGAAAAACACACAGCTGAACTCAATCTAAATAATGCAATAAACTACAGTGACCCCAATGTCACGATAAACATGATATTGGGTTCACTGTCCTTAAATGGCCTCTATTGTAACCAGATTTCATCCAATAGAACACCTTGGAGGTGCAGTCAACAAATCTTCATCGACTGTGTGATGCTATCATGCCAATAGGGAGCAAAGTCTCTGAGGAATGTTTCCAGCACCTTGTTGAATCTACGACTAGAAGAATTAAGGCAGCTCTCAAGGCACAAGGGTTTCCAACTGAAAGTTCCTCTCATAAAAGGTGCCATCACAAGTTATCTATGTCATGTGCATCAATGCATAACCCAAATTTATTTACGTTTTTTAATACTCAGGTTGACAATTGCCTTAAATGTGAGCGGTTCCACCAGGCATTATTTGTTAGTTTGTTAAATATATGTAATGCAAAAAGAAGCTCAAACTTTTTTGCTCTTCCTCTTTTCTTTTCACTTTGACTTTTGTTGTAATGAAGAGATCATTTTACTGGATTGTACAAGCTGCACAACTGTGAAATTTGCTTCAGTAGGCCCACACAATCTGTCATGGTCCTGACAGTTTGGCCTTTGTAAAGAGATTGTCTAAGAAACATTTCCTTGCCCCTGGGGTTATGGCCTTTACTTTAACTCAGCTCTATGAGAAAGGATTGTCTTGAGACAAAGGGTTCACAGATGAGCTGTGGAGAGAGAATATTGCAGTCTGTTGCTGAGGAAGTTGAAGCTTACCAGCACTGCTGAAGCACAGGCAGGGGGCTTGTAGGTCTCACAAGCATTAAAAGCAAATTGTGCAATTTGCAGAAGGACCCTTTCTTAAGAGGAGGTGACTGTGATTAGCTACATTCCCGTGGGAGGGAGATTTATGAAGTCTGAGCTTGTTTTTTGGGCCTGACCTACTGCACAAGTTGGAACATCATTAAAATATGATTTCCCATTCTAATTTATGATCATGTGACACTGTGATTATCACTATTGGGGATCATTTTCAGCAAAATAATAAGATGACAATGGACATGTAGCATAACATCGTTTTAATGTAATATAAATGTAGCAATCTGGAATCGTCAGAATCATGATAATATTAAAAATGAGTAAAATACATCTTAAAGTCCTACAAATGTTCTTCTGTTCTGTTGGGTTGTTATACAGTAGGTCAACTCCCCATGGAGACGACTTGTTTATCATGCCACCATTTTCCCCTATCTCCTGTTTCTATGGTAACAGCTTAGCGGACCTTAACTTTATTTGCAAATACACTAGTTAACATTTTTCATTTTTTAACCTCTCAACTATTATGCACTTGCTACTCTTACAGATGTGTTCGTACAAGGCCTGTTATAATTCAGCTTTATTAAGCACTGGATGGTTAAATTAGATACATATGTCATATTCTAGCAGTGCATTTTTTTTCCCGTTGCAATCGCAGTTTAAAAAAAAAGATTAAATAAATACGATCTTTTGCCACCGACAACATGCTGTTTTTGATTAGGACTTAGTTACTCTTTTTAAGTTCTTGATTGCACTCAGATTCCAGCTGTTGACTGACAATTAAGTTAAGAGACGCTACAGTTAATTAACATTTTAATCTTGAATGTCAAACAATGGCTGAAAGGACTTTGAAAGGACCTTTGGAGCAAGACACTATAGTTAATTTAAATAGAAAAAAGAATGTCATAGCATTTTCTTAGACTAATGTGATTACAGTTTGTTTAATATTTTGTGGTATATTTAGAAAAATGTTATGCCTTCCAGAGCCTAAAAAAAACCTATTGTTTATATTCACATTCACATTAAGCAGGAATACAATGTTATGCCTTCCATTCTGTAAATATTGTGCATGTAATAAAAAGAGCTGCACAGTTCTATAAATTCACTGTTTGGTTTTTGGCCCAAAAAGCGAACTCCCATGACTGTGATGGATTTTCAGTTCAATTTTTACATCAAAAATCTTTGTACTTTTAATTACAGCAGTTCCACAAGGCTAATTAGCATAAGCAAAATGAGCATGTGGCTAATTAACATTTTATTAGACGCACGGGTTAGGGAAGCTGTGTGTCGATCTTCATTTATCAATCTGTATTTTCACACATGCTTTTTATAGCAACACAAAATCTGCTTTTAATTTTAATTTAATACTTAATTTCACTCTTTATTTCGATCAAAATTATTCTGACTCTCTGCAATGAACCGATCATCACTTGCAGCCAGTTGATGTGTTCAGAATGACTTGGGTTTATCAAGATCGTGATAAAAGGGGATCTGTATGTTATCAGTTTGTGAATGAATGGGGTCAAATTGGCAATTACATGCAATCAATCTAGTATAATATGTTGGGAAACTGATAAATCTACACATAAAATGCACATTATCTATGAATAACAATGAACAATAAGAATCTAAGAACTTCATTTGCAACAGAAGTTTAGAAAATCCTCCACAATTCACTAAAGGACAATGATTTAACTCCAAAATAAGACTATAACAGGAACAAAACTGCAATAGTTGGCAGCCAGTTGAGGAGAGTACGCTATTGCAAAGACACATCACAGACAAGTTACAATCATCGGTGCAGACTGACTCAGAGTGATTGGAGCATGCTGGCAGTTGGACTGACTACTGAGTCAGACAACGATTTGTTTGGAGACAGGTTGCCTCCCACCAGGTGACATGTGCAATCACCTTTGGCCAGAGGTTTGTGGTATTGCATGTTAAACCTCTGGAGTCACTGCAGCTACTTCCTTCCGTCGCCAAATTCAATGCAATCATCGAGCAGCATCCTTGTTTATATATATATTTTTTTAATTTGTAAACAACACCCACAAGATGACTCTGGATCTTTGTATCGTGAATTTTCTCTATGTTACTAACAAAGCATGATACCATGTTAGTGTGAACATGGATGTAATTGTCTCAATATATCAGGTGATAAAAATAAAGCACCTTTGTGAATACTCTGGTCTTCAATATTACACCTTTCTGCTGCTTCAGGGATTTCACACAGTTTTTCCCTTGAGGCGATGGACTTCAGCTCTTTCTCTACTCACCATCCCAGCTTGTTCTAAATGTAGACCTAAAATCTTTTTCTTTGATCCCAGATTGGCTTGACTCTTTGGAAGTCTGCCCTCACAATACAAAGTGGGAGTTTTTTTAAGGATTTTCTTGGTGTATGGCTTCTTTGTGAAGAGGATTTGTGGCTCTATAAGATCTATAAGGATTTGATGCGCTGCTGTAGCTACGAGACACAATATTGCTCCACTCCCTGGAGTCTGTCTGTAACACTGAGTTATTGTCCATGACTCCTGAAGGACAGCTGGTGTACAGATTCCAAATTACAACGTGTACTCAGACAGACAGATCACTTGTACTTAACTGGTTGCTTTCAAAACTGAATTTGTATTCCTTTATTTTTCTATAGGAAGTGTATATATAACTAAAGTAAATGACCTGCAACTTATTATTACTGATGATATTTTGGTATACTCATTCAATTCTTAAGTAGCAGAAAAGCCATTTAACAAGACAAAACCACATCTGTCATATTTTTTAAATATTTCGTTCCAATACAAATGTTTCTAATTTTTTTTTAATGATTAGCTTTCTGTAAAATCAACTAATAATTGGTGCTTCAATAAATCAGCATCCTTTCATGTGTTGCATCTCTGGAGCAGTTTAGAAAAGTAAAGTTTAGCTTAACTTCAACCTGTAGTCTTTTGCGAAGGACACCATACTTGCATCAGTTCCTTCAGTACTTCAGACGTGCACATATTTCCCCCCATATAAATGTGAAATCAAACACCAAGCGTGTCAGTTACTGCCTCACGTCAGTCTATTCTAAATTGAAACACAGCGCATGAGTCGCAGTGTCACTGTTGTCTCTGTTTGATTTCCTTCTACCTGTCTGTTCTGGCCTGCTTCAAAAAATGTTTGTTGTGGCTATGCTTAATTTAGACCAGAATGACAGGGACAAAGGTTTTGAAGCCTTCCCAAGCGACAGCCTCCCCTTCTGAAGATTGTTTATGATAGCTGTAGGTATAGCTCAGAATCCCTCTGAGAGATTCTGAATCAAAAGTGTGTTTAAGAAAACAAGAGCACCAGAAGACTGTATGTGTTTTGGGTCTGGAGGAGGACTGGCAGTTCGCTCAGGCTGTAATTGTAAATGTAGTTGAGCCAGAGCAAATATCTTTTGTCAGTATCCATCTGCAGAAAACCGAGACAAAGAGCAAAGCTGATGTTCTGGCAAAGAAACAAGGCTTTGAAGAATAGTTGTGGTAATTGTTCTCACTGATTGGATTTCATTCGTCATCCACTACATGCAGCCAGCAGCAGCTGTATCCCAAGTATTGTGTGATGCTTACCCGTCTCTGTCTTTTCTCTTTGTTGCTTAGGAGTTTGCAGCACTGACCAAGGAGCTGAACGCCTGCAGGGAACAGCTGCTGGAGAAAGAGGAAGAGATATCTGAGCTCAAAGCCGAGAGGAACAACACCAGGGTGAGGACAGCATCCTTATACATCTTTATTAAACTTTCCTTACTTAACTTATTTTAATATGACCATTGGAATTCAGTAGTTCTGAGCAGTAAGAACAAACAAAACTGATGTTTGGACATTTTAAACCAGAAATGAAGCTGCTTCTGCATTTCATACTCAATCCTTTTTTTATGCATTCCACAAGTTGCTCTCAAGTTTTCCCAAAAAACCTGCTGGACACTGCGATAGGCAGCATCCAGAGGAAGATTAAGCTATCTGGTGGCTACGGTTTTAAGGCTGCAAAAGCACTGAAGCAACCATGCACACTGTCTATTTCCTGTGCCCAGGCACACCTCATTAGCTCTCCACATTCTGCCTGAAAATTGTTCCACTTACTTCACATGGATGGCTGCTCAACAGTAAGACTAAGTCCAAATGGTACTGATGCCCTGCAGTGTCCAGTTCAAAGAATTTGGTGTGGGGGAGGGGCAGCTAAAAAAAAAACATTAGAGGATCAGCTGAAGTCCAGTATCTTCAATAAAAAACATTGCCTTTTTAAAGCACACTCTGCTGTTGATAGATAAGACTCTGCTTTCCATCCCAATGCTGATGAAGTGTGTATTTGCAGTCTTGCACTATCTTCCTCTGGTGGAGGCAGAAGATTTTAGCACAGCACTGATGGAAAATTACAGAAAAGAGGGAGGTGAGGTGCAAGAAAGGAGGACAGACAAAAGTCATTTTCACTCTCGCACTTTATTATCACCTCAAATTCTCCAACAGGCAATTACTAAGCAAATTTTAATTAAGCTTGGTTTTGTCACTGGTTATAATTAAATCTTGGAAGACATGTACAGGCAGTCATTTGACATGGGAACCTGCAACATCATGTGATGAGTATGGGATTGGTCTTATTGGCTGTGGGTTAAGCATCACAGTCTTTGATATGTGATGAAGATCTAGAGTTTTCAAACTTTTGAGGGGCCAAGACTAACTAACATTCATAACTGATTGCTTTCGTGTGTTTTAACTAACTGTGTTTTAACTAATTTTCAAATCACCAGCTACAACTTAGGGGATTAGTGTACATACTATCTGTTTTATCGCAGGCATAGTTGTGCACTTTGCTCATAGTTTTACAGAGTTACCAGAATGGAAATCAAACATAATTAAGCAACTAAACTCAAACTAACTAACTAGTATGTTAGGTCTCATTCACTAAAGCCTAGAGACCAGTTAATGACCATCTCACAACCACTAGTCGCTAGCAGGGAAAATGTGTAGACCCTTAGTGAGTGAGCGGCTGCTGGAGGTTGCTCACTCAAACTAGGTGACATCAGTCGCCAAAAGGGTGCTGCACCGAAACCATGATTGCTTTGGTTTCAAGCAGACTGCCAACAGTTTGCATGTGAGATGCAGACTTGTCTGCAAACACTCACCGTTTTCCTCTGTTAGCTGAAAGTTGGAAACGTTTGGGGCAAATCGGAAAAAGAGAAAGTCGTGCCTTACCACTTCAACCAAAACACTTCAAAAGCCACAACTTTTACTTTGTAGATCAAAGTTCTCTGTTGCCTGTTCGCCTCACACGTTTCACTTTTACTACTGCTTGGTGAGTAGTTTTCAGGTATTTGCAGTAGATACTGACTAATATAAGATTTTTGCAAGTAATACCGATATTTATTGATTAAAAACTCGGATATATCGGATGAAGCACAAGTTTGAAGGATATGTGTAACAACATTTCATCTTTACTTTTTAAATTTTCATTTTTTGGCAAGTTAAAAATCCAGATATCAATATATTTGCAAATAGCTGATAGCTACTCATATCAGTTAAGCTCAAGCTCTAGTTTACAGTCAATTCAGTGTCTGCGCTGCAAACTGTGTGCGATCATGGCGACCTGTTACTTATTAAAGCAATCACAAGGGGAGGGGGGTCACTTATCGCCACCACACCAATAAAAGTACTCTGAATTTATATTTTTAGGTGGGGCTTATTTGATTTGTAAAAGGGTTCATGCTAATCAAAAATTATCAGTTTTCATCAACTTAAAATTTTCATTATGTAATAATAATGCTATTTAATTTGAGTTGAAATGCCACTGAAATTCTTTGTGTTATAAAACCTTTTAAACATCGTCCTTTACATCTGTTTTATATTGATAAATCCAAATTGCAGTTTTAAGCATGTAAATTCCACACATGCGCTTTTACAAAAGGATCATTTAATTCAATCTACACCATGAACAAGCCGGCTAGCATCATGGTTTGTTTGCTTGAAACTAAGAAAGTGTGACTCAGATCTGGTCTTCTGTTGCTGCTCTTACTCAGTTTGGCCTCGAACCGTAACTTGACAACGTGGTCTGGCTCAAATATTTCTCTATGCCGGCCAGTTAGCTAGCTGGCTAACAAGCCAAGCTCTGCAGCAGCAGAACAGTCTGTTGTACCCCGAGTGAAGTGAGTGATTTCATGACAGATTTACGTGATGTCTCACAGTCGCATCAGAGTAGCTGTTGGCACAAAGATAATGTGAGTAATGGACCCAATATGCCTGCTTCATTGGCATAAAAGATCCTCGTCTAGATATGCACTTTTCAATGTCATGCCACATTTTAGGATTTACAACAACTCATTTTGTGCACCACTTAGCCGTGGGTCACGGACCCCACTTTCGGCAGCTGATGTAGAGACAGAGACAGAAAAACAAGATCGGATAAATAATGAAAATATTTACTGAACGAGATTGGAAATGGGGTGCTGTTGAGTAAACACTGACTTCCTGATTGAATCAACAGCAGGCATTTTGTTGAGTGTGCAGGATTATATATGTAGACATGATGGATGTTGATGGATCTCTCAGGGACACTTGAATCAGAGAGACAAATGAAGAGACTACACTCATTCTCCTACAGCAGTGCTCTGCAGGGGTCTTCTTTTCACTGCAAGTTTTCATTGTTCGACTTACACCTCACTCCTGCAGAGATTCTGATCACTTCTGCCTGCTCCAGTGTTTTCTATTGAAAATATATCTTTAGGATCCTGCAGACATCCCCACATAAAAAAGAAATCAAACATTTTTATGGATTTTGCTGCTTTTGGTTTGTTTTGTCAGGTGTGTTTGACATTAAAATGAGTCAGAATGCTATTGATTATTTCTGTTACTTTATTTGGAACCATATATTGAAGAATATCATATTCTAAGCTATCACACTTGTCTTTTTACATTTACATTTTGGGAAATTCAGTTAGATGAAAAGATCAATCCTGTTCTAAATGTTGGACTGTAACTGTGCAGCGCCAGTAGTCAGTATACTCAGTTGGCACAAAAAGGAAATTTTGAAAAGGATCTGTTGACTTTGGCTAGTGGTAGCCAAATTTACTTGAAACTTTAAGATAACAAAAGTTCATAATATAAACTTTGTAATACTTCAGTAAAAGTAAGAAGGCATCTACAGCACGATTATTACTTCTGTAATCTGTAATCATGCTCCAGAACTACTTTTAGCAGCAATGGCTATAAGGTGTTCAGGCCTGCAAAGTGATCCCAAATCACCATCCACCACCGTGCTTGACATATTTGCAGATGTCTGTCTCTATTTTGGTGTCATTTGTCCAAAGGACATTGTTCCAGGACACATGTTATTTGTTCAGATGCAACTTTACAAACCTGAGCTGTGCTGCCATATTCTTTATAAAGCGATATTTTAAACACTAACAGATCCTTGTAGGGCCAATGTAGATGTAGCTCTTACAAATTTTTGCACTTCGTCTGAGCATTGCGCAGTCTGACCCCTGATTCAATTCGATTGGATGTCTGGGAAGATGGAGACATCGTGTTGCTGACATTAAGCTGCTACCTATCATCTTAATTCGTACAGAAGCAGTCGGTGTGTACTTTGTTTTTCACAGGACTGCATGTTTGTGAAAACTGTCTTTTTGACATGACTGTATATAAAAATTAAAAGTCAAACCAGAAGTGCTATTGGCACAAAGATTAAGACTGCAAGGAGCCTTAAATCTGCATTCTTTTAAATAGCCAGCGGGGCATAACACAAAAACATTGGGAAATTACCTTTTGGTTTTCTTCATCTATCATGTTAGTAAAAGCTTTCTGAGGAGTTTATACTCTCAAACTCTAGTTTCAAACTTTGCTGACCACAGCGTGAGCTTAGTTTACTAAATTATGGTCCCATTTAGAATTTTAAAAAATTAAAAAACTAATAAAATTAAAAAAGAAAAAAAACTTGTTATAGTTACGCTTGAGGGCTAGCTGCCTCAGTATTGGCAAGTTTAAGGAGTTTTCATGGTTACTCATGGTTATCTGTTTGCCACAATTGGTGCTATGTAGCCTATGGAAGAATCTTTTCAGATCTATGTTAATAATTTAGCCTATTTTTACTTCAGCAGAGATGTCAGTGGTATTTTGACTTAATAACAATGGTTTACACTTGGTATACACTTGCAATGGAATACACTTACACCAGCTAACTATGTTAGGTAGCCTCAGATGGAGATGTTTGGACACTTGAAGTAAAGGTATGGTGGGAATATAACCAGTAAGGTCAGAAAGAGCACACAGATCATTCTGAGCTGTAACTTTAGCCTATAACCAGATCATTATCTCGAGGCTATATTATTATTGCCCCGGACGACATCAGAGAGGGAAAGAAGTGTCACGATCTGCCTCACTAGGGGAAATGAAATGAAAGCAGACGATCCTACACTGATCTCACAGTGGAACCTGAGCAGGCTACAGTAACAAATAACGTTTTATCTCTGCTGAATAACACACATGATTGTTTACTCCCCGTTTTTGTTGTGTAGTTGCCTTTTGTTTAGCCTGCCTCCAACCTCCGCATTTCTTCTCTGTCTTTGTGTAGCACTCTGCTGGCTGTTGACTTGACAAGTTACCTCGCAACATAGATTACACTTTTGTGTGTTTTTGTTGAAAGGACAGCGTTGCCTTTGCAGTTATCTGCCCCCTTTTTTATATATACATTGTTCGCACAGTTACATTGATGAGGCGTTGCAAGAATACAAAGCAAACTTTTCTTACTGGAAAACATTCTCTCCAGTGATTCTGAACTTTTATACCATAATTTGGTAATAACTCACAACAGTTTATGAGAATGTAAATAGTGATTATGGCCATTTTAATTGGTAAAAAAAAATTGATGATACTAAGAATAATAATAGATGTTGGTCACATACCAAGCCACCAAACCACTTTAATTGCAATTTTTTCTTTTTTCCCAAAGGACTCAGTCTCTGTAAGTAATCGCCTTTGTTGCATGTATATAATGTTTTTTTGATAGTCATGTTTGATTTTTGAAACATTTTTTGAGCCTGATCAAGCACACTTGAAATCATTCCTCTAGCACTTGTAGAAAAAAACCCATAAATAGAATAAGAACAAGAGCCGTGGCTTTCTGTGTTCTCAGAATGTTCATATTTTGGATTCTTCAGCAGTTCTCAGAGTTGATAATAACATTGATTTCTCCTATTTCTTCCCTTTAGTTACTGCTGGAACATCTTGAGTGCCTGGTGTCCAGACACGAGCGGTCACTTCGTATGACTGTGGTCAAGAGGCAGGCTCAGTCTCCTTCAGGGGTCTCCAGTGAAGTCGAAGTTCTTAAAGCACTCAAATCCTTGTTTGAACACCATAAAGCCCTAGATGAGAAGGTAAGGTTGTCAGAATATATACATTAAATGTGTAACTGTTGGCTTTTTTCAGTTTTACCAAATTTAATGC